TATATATATATATATATATATATATATATATATATATGTGTGTGTGTGTGTGTAGAAGTGGGTTCAAATGAGAATGAGGGATAATGAAAGAAATAAGAATAGTTGTCTACCACTGGATCTGTTATATCAATTGTCACGATGAAGTCAAATTTTAGTAATGGTAGTCAAACATATAACGGCAATCTCGCAAATAAGTGAAAATATCGTGGTCAAATGTATATATTTGACCACTTAGTAAGGACAATATAGTCATTTTAGACTCACCACCCATCCACCCCACGTGGCCCCAGCACACTATCCAAACTCTCTCTCTCTCTCTCTCTCTCTCTCTCTCTCTCTCTCTCTCTCTCATGCACACACACTTCTACACACACGGGCACACACACAATCGCACAAACTTCGGCCACAGCCACAGCCCCGCCGCCAATCGCAGGCCCTCAGCCCGTTGTCTGACCGTCTCCCATCGTCGTCCGACCGTCGTAGGAGTCCTTCTCCACCGCTGAAGTCCATTTCCTCGCACGTCGCACACTCCCTCACCCGGACTGAGTATAACGCCGCCGTCACATAACTCAAAACAATAATGGCGAGCGTAGCATCTCGATTGCACGATTTGAGAGCTGATGTCAAGATCCTATTTCCACCTGATCTACAGTCCCCCAAATCAGCAATCCCCGACACCACCCTCAAAGGAATCCCATCCCCAACCTCCGGTAGCGATGTCACCGCCACACTGACGTCTCCGACTCCGCCGCGAATGGCCAGACGGTAAATCTGTAGAATAACAGTTTTAAATTTTGGTTATGGGTCATTTTTTGAGAATTTAATATGTCACGGGGACTTATTTGCAATTTAGAACTTTTATTAGTTATTTCACTTTAGTACTTGAGAGGCAATTGTATAATTTAGTGGATGTAAATTCATACACATTAATGATACATCAAATGCACAATAGGGCATGAGGAAATGCACATTAAAATATTCATCATATTTATACGTACTTACATAATTGAAACTGTCTACTCATTCAAAAAATTTAAGATTTACCAAAATATCACCTTGCTTAGCGTTGCTATCAGTTGGTTCAATCGAACTGATCAACCAAAATATTTATATTGAAATAATCGAGTCGAACTTTCAGAAAGAAACCGAACCGATCGAATTTTTATTCCACAACAAAATAAAAATCAAACAGAAATGATCGATTATTCGGTCAGTTATTTAGTTTAACGTAAACAACTGAATTGAATTGTTATTTATATTTATGAAGTTGTATAACCGTCTTAATTTCTGTTCTAAAATAGAATAAAAATTCGAACAAAAAATGTTCGATTTATTCGGTCAGATATTCTATTTAACCTAAATGATCGAATTAACTTGTTAATATTTATAAAGTTGTATTTAGTATCTTATTTTTTTATATATTACTTTATATTATTTTATATAAAATATAAAAAATAATAATATTTTGATTCAAAATAATCGAATTTTAAAAGTAGAAATCCACCAAATGGATAAAAGAACAAAGTTTTTACTGGCGCTACAGAA